GAAGTGACAAGATAAAGCTTACAAAGTTATAGAAAAAAAGGTATGGGCACTGCAACCACTAATCCATCTCACCCAGTAACATTAATATATTTCAAACCTCAAAGCCCCCACGTCCAGAATTTAAAAAAATAATCAAATTGCCATTAGAACATTTCTCTCTGTCCTCCTGAATGTGGAAGTTTGATTCCAAAATGTCTTTGCTGAGGAAATGCAATTCAGAAGAATGTAGTTTCTCTTGTGTGTGACAACGGGAAGGCCAAAAGAAATGTTTTAAAGACACCCTTAAGACAACCATTAAGAGATGTGGCATAGATACCATGCACTGGGAGACAGTAGCCCAGGACTGGCCAAGACTTGCCAGAGCAGGGACTATCGCTTTTGAGGAAAATCGCCTTACCCTGGTCACAGAAAAATGCCAGAAAAGAAAGGACAGATGATTGTCATGTATCAATCATGGCCCAACACTACCTTCCAACATTACCTGCAATGTTTGCCAACGAGTTTGCGGCTCAAGGATTGGACTCTTCAGTCACCAAAGGACCCATAAAAATAAAAACCTGGCTAAAAGAGCATCCCTGACCCCGAGGGATCGCCAAAACCTTTATACCACACCATCATGGGCTGGGAATGAGAAAAAATGCACAATGAGTGGTATGGAGGGAAGGGTACATTTTCAGGAGCTTGGGATGACTGTTACTCATGAAGGTCAAAGCCATGACATCATCCCACGTAAGTGCTGATAAAACCTGTGTCCACCTACACATATTTTTGTGCACCCATATTTTATGTCTATTTTACCCACAGACATATAGTTTACAGACATAGTGTGCATGTGTGCACACAACACAGGGTATGCATACAATAGCGGCAACATGTATTTTATACCACACACATCCACTGCACTGCCTATGTGGCAGGGTAGAAAGCTAACTATTACAACGCTGCAGAAGAGAATTTACCTTAAGGGAGAAAAAAATCCCACCTATGATTGAAACAGCAAACCACCTGCCTAGTGGACATTAAAATGATCTTTTCCATGGAGAATGCAAGTGTTATTTTTGGCTACAGCATCACAAACAAAAGGAAAGTGTTGTGTAAAAGTGATAGTGGGGGGTCTCAAAACCTGAAAATAAGTAAAAAACAAAACTGAGTCAGTTTCAAATTGGTTTTTGGGAATGAATCTGACACAAAGAGTTGTAGACAACGTCAGTCTCTCAAATTAAATTCTCCCATCAGTGTAACCAAGAAGTATTAACTGCTACTAAAAGGAATGGAGGTTGATCTACCAGGAAAGAATTTCTGAGCTGCAGACTCTTTCTAAAGGTAAAAGTCATTGCAAATTAAGGTACAAGATATGTAAAGGAATGAGAAAGTGACACTGTCTTCCCTTGTTCCAGAATTCTCTCCCACCCCCAAGCAATTGGCAGCACATTTTTTTAATCTTATCTTGATATGTCAATAAATAATTCTGTTTTTCCAACTGAACAACGAGCTAGACATGGCAAACTGTAATTAACAGCATGAAGCATAATACCATTTGGCATGCTCATTCCTCTTTTTTGAATAGGATGATGCAACAACCCTTTTCAAGCCAATTCAAAAGAAACTTCTACTTATAATTACATGCTATCTTGATTAGGATTTGCTAATAACATCATGCCTATTGAGTCCGAACTACTGAAAAAATAACATAGATTTGTCCACTAAGGGTATGTCTACACCCAGCTGCTAGTTCGGCGGCTGGCAATCGAAGTTCTGGGTTCGACTTATCGCGTCTTGTCAGGTTATCTGACACTTCCCATTATAAGACCCTGTTTTCAGTTGCTTATAACTTCACCAAACTAATTGTTTGGGCTGAAATTTTACATGCAGAGGCCTGCATTTGGCTGAATTTTTAGGAAAATTTTGTTATGCCCTTGTTAAAAATGTCTGGTAATAATTTCCACTCCTAGCATCCCCGTGCTTTGGAGCAGGGTCTTGAAATTTGGCTGGGGAGTGGCCTTTGTGTCAGCAATGTGCTTTTTGCCATGCTTGTGAAAGTCTGCCTACATTTGGCCATGTTATCAGCCTTTGGGGGAGAAAAATCACAGTTTGCACATGCTCCATAGAGACTTTTAGATTTTACCAGTTAAAATCTCCAAAGATTCTATCCTCACTGAGTATACTTGAGCCCCTCACAACCCCTTTGCGTGACCAGACTCTGCATGCAATCATCACAGAGTGGCTGACCATACTCCCTCTAGCCCAGAACTATGGGGTGAAGTTGGATTTTCCCTATAATGGCTGCTCTTAGCTGCAGTGAGCCAGGCCACCTGAATGACGGAATTTCCTAATTTCTGAGTGCTTAATGTTGCAACTTGAATAACGTTCTTTTAACATAGTTTTTTTGGTGTGTAATGTCAATGATAAGCAAGGCTGCAAATCATTTTCGGAGGTCACGGGAAGTCACGGCTTCCGTGACTTTCTGTGAGCTCCGTGAATTTTGCAGCGGCAGTGGGGCCACAGGCTGCTCCGCGCCCAAAGTGGCAGTGGTGGTGGGGCCATGGGCCGCCTCCCGTCCGGAGCGGCAGCAGGGCCAGGGGCCGTCCCCCACCAGGATCAGCGGCAGTGCCACAGGCTGCCCCCCGCTCAGAGTGGCAGCAGGGGCATGGGCTGCCCCCCCAGCAGAAGCATCACCCCATGCTATTCCCCGCCCCCAGCAGCAGTTTTCAGGAGCGCCCCCCTCATTAAGGCTACGTTTTAGTCACAGGTATTTTTAGTAAAAGTCATGGACAGGGCTCAGGGGCCGTGACTTTTTAATTGCCCATGACCTGTCCATGACTTTTACTAAAAATACCCGTGACTAAAACATAGCCTTAATGATAAGCAGTTTGCAGAAAAATGCAGAGACCTTCAATCGTACCTAATTATATTTAGTGGAAACAAAAAAATAATTCTCCTATCACTCAATAAGCGCTGCAATTTCAAAAATATATGGGGGTGTATGCGACATGCCACATAATTATGTGTGCAAAATATATGTGTGTATATAGTTTGTAATTTCCAATTGGCTGTCGTAGAGAGAGTACACTTATAAAGTCTGCGGACAATACCAAGCTGGGAGGGGTTACAAGTGCTTAGGAGGATTGGATTAAAATTCAAAATGATTTGGACAAACTGGAGAAATGGTCTGAAGTAAATAGGATGAAATTCAATAAGGACAAATGCAAAGTACTCCCAGAAGGCATGATCAGTTGCGCATATACAAAATGGGAAATGACTGCCTAGGAAGGAGTATTGCAGAAAGGAATCTGGGGCTTACAGTGGATCACAAGCTAAATATGAGTCAACAGTGTAACACTCTTGGGGGGGAAAAAAGGCGAACATCATTCTGGGTTGTATAAGCAGGAATGTTGTAAGCAAGACACAAGAAGTAATTCTTCCACTCTACTCTGTGCTGATAAGGCCTCACCTGGAATACTGTGTCCTGTTCTGGGTGCAACATTTCAGAAAATATGTGGACAAATTGGGCAAAGTCCAGAGGAGAGCAACAAAAATGATTAAAGGTCAAGAAAACATGACCTATGAGGAAAGATTGAAAAACACTGGGTTTGTTTAGTTGGGAGAAGAGAAGACTGAGAAGGGACATGATAGCAGTTTTCAAGTACATAAAAGGTTGCAACAAGGCGGAGGGTGAAAAATTGTTATCCTTAACCTCTGAGGATAGGACAAGAAGCAATGGGCTTAAATTGCAGTTAGGGAGGTTTAGGTTGGACATTAAGAAAAACTTCCTAACTGTCAGGGTATTTAAGCACTGGAACAAATTGCCTAGGGAAGTTGTGGAATCTCAGTCATTGGAGATTTTTAAGAACAGGTTAGACAAACACCTGTTAGGAATGGTCTAGTTATTACTTAGTCCTGCCTTGAGTGCAGGGGTCTGGACTAGATGACCTCTTGAAGTTCCTTCCAGCCCTCCACTTCTAGGATTCTACAATCTCAGAGACATATCCATTTGTAACCGAGACACATTTTTAATTTTGCCCTGAATTAACTTGAAATGTAGATTAAAGGAAATTCATTTATTTTAAAAGCTTTGATTAATCAATGATTAATAAGTTAATGTTTGTAAACCAATGTGACTATGCAAATTACTACAGAAGTGCTAAGTGTTATTATTATGTTACTATTATGAATTGCCTATTAAAATGAAGTGTTTTCTTTTCCTTCATCTTTATTTCCCTGTATTCCCTGCAAGAAAGACTCACCATCTCCAATGTTGCCTAAAATGAGCCAGAGAGCAGCACTGCCCAGTCAAGAAGTTGTGCTGGCAACTGGTTGGATATCAAATTCAATTTTCCCAAAGGAAGGCTAGGAACTAGAGACCCATTGCCATAGGTCAACTATTCCATATGCTTTACAGTGTATTCTTGAGTGCTATGTATAGTGCAATCTTAAATAATTCACGGGATGGAGCTGCCACTTTTCCTTTGGAGAGTTGCAAGTCATGAAAAAGATTCTCTGGAGACCAATGAGTATAAATGATGACATTACTTACAGTAGGTGTACATAAAAAATCCAAAGCAATGAAAATAACCATTGGCAATTAATCTCTTTTACATATGGAAAACTTGGTGTCTACACATATTTAGTAGAAAACTTGCTCTTCTCACTCAACGTGGGGTGAGTGTTCACAACATGGTGAAGAGTTAAATAAAAGCAGTCTTTTTTTGCCATTCAACCTCCCATCTCAGTATTAGTCATCCTCAAATAACCTAGGGCCCAATCCCACAAAAAACTTGTGTCCAGGAGTACCTAGTACTGCTGTGAATTGTCCTTCTGAAGTCAAGGTAATATTCACCGTCTCCAATAGTAAGTGTGTGCAGCATTGACCCCTTAGACTGTAAATTCCTCCGAGGTAGGGACTGTGCCCTATTTTACTGCAATGTGCCATACACAGCCTCTGGTGCTCTATAAATAATAAACAATAATAATGAATATTCCATAAAGCAAAACATCTTTACCATTCTCTTCATCTCCTTGGAGACCTGGTGAGCACCCAGATGGTTGTAAAAGGGGCGATCCACACCCCAGTGTGGAGGGTTATGGCCGATGGAATTGGTGCGCTGTCTGTTCATCTTGGCTATTGTCGCTTTCTCATCTTTCTAAAATAAAAACATGAGAGAATCGCATGACGTATTTTGAAACATTTTACATAGCAATCACTCCCCAGACGCCTTTGTTTCTGATCATTTATCCCCCTGCATTAACCTATTAATCATGCACTTCAACAGAAATAAGGAGCGTTCATCTGATCATTTCTTTATTGCTTTATTTCCTATCCTTCCAAGCGTCACAGATAAGTAAAATGGGACAGTTTTTCAAAGGACTCAAAATTTGTTGCCCACCATTTTACTAGCAAATGATAACTCCCGTCCTCTGTGAGGACAAACAGCTCTGGTGCGTGCAAACAGGGTGTCTTTTTTTGCCTTGAGACTGAACAATTAAATTCAGGAACAAAATTGTAGTTCTGAGGGGAGAGACTGTGTTAAGATTCCTTGGAAAACATGAATCAATGTGCCTGCAATTTACGGGACAAAGGCAGAGGGATGATCTGAGTAAAGAACTAGGAGCCAGGTTTCAATTCTGGCACTGATCCTGCCCTCCTGTACAATGGGGATGCCTCCCAAAGAAGGGGTGAAGAATACTTAATGTTTGCTGGGTACTGTACTTGGTAAATGCTAAGAAGAAAATAATGGTACTGCACAAGGTGAAAAGGGTGTTTTCTCCTCTTCAACTCTAACTGCCCATTTTGTCTTTGACTGAAATGCTCCCGAAGTTGAAGGGTGTTTGGTGGTAAGAGATAGCTATGAAATTTGGACCTAATTCAAGACTGCTGCAAAGGTTGGGTGTGTTTGAACCCAGAGATTTATTTCAGGCCCATCACCAATAAAAACAGAAGTGCAGGGCGCTATGGGGTGACATAATAGTATTGTGAATTACTTATTTTGAGGGTGTTTTCTAGCTAATGAAAAGCACTGCTTTTTCAACATAGGATTTTCTCTGTCCTCCCCTTGTTGGCCTCTGCTTTGTAGAGGAGGCAGGAGTAGCTTGTACAGGATCAATCCTGCAGTTTTCATTCAGACCAAGATTTCAACAAGAGTAGTAGGGTTGCTTAGTAGGGAACTAGGTGATCTGACCACGTTGACTTAACAAAAACCAACGTGGCCGTGGTCGTAAGCATGTTAATATATCATTCCTGAGAGATGGGCGACCCTTGGAGAGTTCGGGGGTTCTGTTGGAATGAGCATTTGAAAAGTTGTTTTTTTAATAGCTTGTGAGGTCACCCTTTTTTGAAGATTTCCTGGATCTGGCTGAGCACAAGCACCAGAACAGACTCACGTAATTATTATTGCATATCTTGGATTTCAAAGCCAGGAATTGCAGAGGGAGCAAAACAATTTTAGAAAAGAAAAAGCCACCATTTTTTCAAAATGATTGAGCCTGGTTCAGCTCAAGTCTTCGATGAAGATACAGGTTAGTCCATATAGTCTCCATACGGATTCTCTTGTCCCAAGCAGTAACTGTGGTTTCCAAGGCATTCACCACGTTCCTGTCACGTTCTCACAGAATGACTGGTGCTATTTCCATGGTAACCAGAGAGTTAACTGTCACGTTTTATATTGTCATGCTTTTCTGAATTAAAAATTTGTAAATTTAGTGCTGGGGAAAGGTGCTAGATTGACAGCCATGGAGACGTTACTCTTAATAGCCACTGGATAATAACAGCCTGGGGTTGCTACTGCCCCAAGGCTGCATTTGAACTGCTGCAAGGGTTCTATCTATCTCATTACCGATTCCCAGGTCGCTGGGAGCACTGCTAGTGTATTACTACAATGGGCTGGGGGCAACCGCAAAGAACTTTCAGCTCCATTGCAAAACTTAGAAGAAGAAGCCACACATTATCACGAACTGCTTAAGCCACAGAAAGACAGGTGTGGGGAAACAAACCTTATGACTGTCACTCCTGTCTCTCACCTGCATCAAACCAGCATCGTTTAATCTATAAGAGCTGGAACTGTGAACATTTTGTGCCAGATGAACTTCACATTAGCAACCATTATGGAAACTAGCTAATCTCCAAGAGAGCTGTGTTTTAAATGTTTCTAAAAATACACAAGTATGAAATGACTATTATCGGGTTTTTTTAAAAGCCACAGAACTTTTACTTTTCTAACCTGTACGATCATTTGTGGTACTCTAGCTGCAACCCCTTGCATAGTTACAGATCTGTATATATCATCTGATGCCAGAAAAACACTAGCAGAAAGAACAGATTAGATATCTACAACCAAATATTTACTGCTCTGAATAATAAAAGTGACACTGCCTGTACATTTTATTACAGCTTAGCGAGAGACTTTCAACCAGTAGCAATCAAAAAAAAGCTAGGCAGTAAATCTAGTCTAGAGACCTATAAAAGCAAACCTATCTGGTTACATGATAAATGCCTTTACGTCAACAGACAATAAAAGATACATGCGACAAGTTTCCCCCAATGGTGAAGCACAGTCCAATATGATATTAGTCTTAGTAAATGCAGATATAATCTTAAACAAAGACTTAATTCCAGAAATCCAAGCATATAAACTGAAAGGTCTCAGCCAATTAGTAAACTGCTTTTGACTAGGGACAATTGACTGTCATATACTAAATTTACATTATGTCTATTGTGTGATTAATTTGAAGGGAATAAAAGACCTCAGTAGGTACAGGTGTATTGACAGTTCTGGGTTGGGGCAAGGTTAGGACAAACTGTGGTAAACACACACACTATTGAGGTCATTTACAACCATGAGATCACGGGGCATATAAATTATCCAAAGCTGTGTGAAGAACTCTTGCATTTCTTCCCCCTCAAAATGGTGTAGGAGAGATTTTGAACCATGTATTCTGTAGCTTTTGCCATAGATAAAACCCAGTGTGGGGCAGTGTTTTTCAGTCAAAGCCTCTGGTGGCAAAATTTTGCTTGCAGAAATAAAACACGATACTCAAACTTCTTGCTCAAATGGACTTCACTGTTAGTTGTACCACTTATTTAAAAGAACCTTCTGAACTTGATTTTTTTAAAATTTACTTTTAAAAAAAATATTCAGATTTCTGATTGAACTCTTTAAAAGTATGTTGTGATTTAATTAAAAAAAAAAAAGATGAAGTCCCAGATTGTTAATGGTATTTAGACATGGCTGTATTCAGTGTCACAATGCCTAACAGATTTAGAAGCCTAAATCTAATTTTTAAAAAGATTTAGGCACTTAGGAGTCTAAATCCCATCAACTGACTATGGAATTTAGACTCCCAAGTGCCTAAATCCCTTTTGAAAAATGATATTTTATGCTCCTAAACTTAGTTAGGCATCATGATGCTGAACGCAAAAACACCAAAATAGCTTTGAAAATCTGGGCCTAAGCGATTTTCTACTCTGTAGATATTTATAAGGGTCACTCTTTTCAGTTTAGTTAGCCTATTGCTCCCTTGCTAATTGACTATACAGGAAAACTGACTTGATCGATTGCACCCCTGTATTCACATCATACACACTAGTATAATCATCTTTGTACAATATATGCCTTATGAGGTAAACAAATAAGTCACTGGTCATCAATATCATGGTGAAATGTATGTAGCAACATTACATGTAAAGTTATGAATTCCCCCTGTATGATGTTGGTAGCATGTGTTCAAAGCCATGCCTGACTAGCCAGGAGTGGTTAAACAGGTCTATCCTAAACAAAGAAATGTGTGTTTACCTCAATTTACATATAAGTAGTAAACAGGGTCATTGAGACAGCAGGAAGAAGACAGGGCAAATCTGCATTTCAGCCTATGCAGGGGAGATGAAACAGCATGGGCCACCTTCACCCCCAGACTCCACTTTGCCTTCTTTACGGCTTGAATAAACTTTGTTTTGAGGGGTAACCCGCACACGAATCCACTTCAAAGGGGAACTGGACTATAAAAGTGAGGGGCAAAACCCATGCCAGGGTATCTCTCTCTCTTGCTCTCTCTTTCATCTGAGACAACAAAGGAACCAGCCTTTTTACTTTGCGGGGAGGAGGGGAGGAGGAAGGCATCCTGACCTGATCATTTGGTCAGCCCTGTTGCTGGGACCATGTGCTAAGGATTTCACCTTGAACCAGTCTAGTTTGTTAAGTTTTAGCTACTAGAAAGCATTTTATCTTTGCCTTTTTTGTAGCCATTTTTGACTTTAATACCTGATACTTGTACTCACTTAAAATCTCACTCTTTGTAGTTAAATAAACTTGTTTTATTTTTTAATCTAAACTAATCCAGTGTTGTGTTTAAACTGAGCTGCTGGGTAACTAAAATAACAGGCTGTTGGTTATTGGCTATTGACCCATACAGGGCCAACGAACCTATAATATCTGAACTGTCCAGGAGAGGGCTGGGCAGCACAGAACACAAGTTTTGGGGAAAATTCAAGACTGAGGGTGTGTTGGGGTCAGCCTGCAAGTAGTAACCAAGGCTGCTGGAAGCCAGAGTGTGGCTGGTGTGTTGCTGACAGAGCTGCTGGACCAGGACTGCAGCTATGCACAGACACTCAGGGTGTGATCTATATGCTGTTTGGCTGTCTGTGAGCAGCCCAGGTTGGGAGCTACAGCAGCAAAGCATTGTGAGGGACCCCAAGTTGCAGGGCAGGTGGTGACACAACCCCTCACTGGTCTGGACTGCACCCCGGAATGACACTGACTATACACAAAGTGTCATCAAATGCATGAGAAAACTGGGGAAAGTTTGAGAAAAAGAACTGTTGACCATGTCTTTCAGTTCTGCTAATCTTTATGTGCTATCTGTTACAATGGGAGCTGCAATATTATCAGACAACAATGAGCTTTTCAAATTTAACATGGATAAACTCCAGAAGTTGCTGTGGGAACTTTCAAATATGAGTTTGCAGAGACCGTAAATCTTATCCCCAGAGATTTTATTGAATTCTCATCACCATTTCCCACACACTGAGGTACAGTAACACCATGTCAAAACCACAGAAATAGTTGAGATTTTCTTAGACCAATCAATTGCACCCAACACCTTTACTCTATGGCTGCATCTACAGTAGGATTTTTTGAGATCTGTGGTTATC